TGCGGACAGTTGTTTCTACCTTTGCTGCTAAGATCTGTCAGTGCGGCTGTCGTGATGAGTAGGTGTGAGTGAACGTCTGGACGATCTGTGCTTTCCCTTTGTCACTGTAGACATGGCAGTGACCTCAACCCTCCCTGTGTACGTCAGGAGGTGACCTTTGGTCAGGACGATGTCCTTATCGTCGGCTCTGGGTGTTCCTGTGGCAATACTGTGGGATTTTCACACATCAGGCCGGAATGCCTGGAATTTTAGGTGTCGTTTTAGGGAAAACATTTTGGCTGCGGCTGCAGAGTTCCGTGTTGGAGGCGCCCTGGCTATGAGCGTGTGTGTGTGTGTGTGTGTGTGTCCTACTGTAGGTGCTTACATCTGGACCACATCTTGACACATTAATCATATAAATGGCAGTTATATGCACATGAACAGAAGACTTACACAATCAGTTCTTGAGAAAACTCCCTTTCTCTTCGAAGTTTCCATTTCGAGGTTTTTTGTTCTAGTTTAGTAGAAGTCTAGACGTTTTTAGACCTTTGGTGTGTGGAATGTAGGTAATTATCTTATTTAGTCTCTGGCTGAGTGGCTATGTGGAATTAAATCATGTCTCCATTTGTTTTCTTTGGATATATTTAGACCACTCATTACACTTTAAGTTGCATATTACATCACATAACAGCAGTGCACCTGCAGTACTTCCTCTGCAGTTTCACAAGAGCCATTTTAAAAGAAACACATGGCCATCTTAGTGGTTTGAGTACTTTTGCTGCTGTTCATTGTGTGTTATGTAAATGTTAGGAAAATTTTCCATCTGCTTAAATCTTCATCCCTACCCTTGTCTTTTTCCTTCCTATTACATTTTTTTTTTTTTTTTACGACCGAGTTGTTTGAAACTGCACTTATTCCACTATTAAGTTCAAAAATGGGAAATCCATCCGAAAGTGATTTAGCTCTGCCATTTAATTTCAAAGGTAATGAAAGACAACATTATTTAAATCCATGAAACATAAAATCAATCCTTGTAAGAGGAAACAATTTGAGCTGAGGTGTGTTGAAGGAGAGTCATGAAAAAAGAAGGAAGGGAAGCAGACAGTGCACTTTGAGAGTTTATTGTGCTTTGAATGGATTAGGGCAGCTCAGTCTGTGACCTCTACAGGGTGTGGTGGTGATCCAGTGATGTCCGACATTACATTACCTCTTCAGAATCCTTACTGGAATAATGAGTCAGAATAACTCAGTACATCAACATCGTGAATAGACTACAACTCACATGTGCTTCCTGACTCAAGGCTGCAAAGCTGGAGCATGCTGTTTGCTATTTCTGACTGTTCCAACAGTCATGGCTAATCTGCCCTCCTCACTGTAAGGATACCTGCAGATCTGGCACAGCCAACCTGCCAATGACTGGAAAACTTTCAGTGCCAAAACCTCAGACACCAATTACCAAGTGCACTTGGAGCTGCTCTGCATGTTATGCATGTGTCAAATATTGTCCTGGGAAAAGATTTGAGTATTATTTGTGACTATTACAGCCCACAGTTTATTCTGAGTCACAGCTCAAATCAGTCACAGCTAGTTGGCACCACCCAAACCCACGAACTGGCAAACTTGAATATTGTCTGGGTTTGCTATAAGGTAGTATGGGGTATGAAAATGTATTTTCAGAAAAAGGACAAACATAAAAATGTGTATCGTATTAGCAGAATGCTTTTTCTTTGTGTCCGAAACTCCAGAATCAAATCAGAAACATGGATTATTTAGTCTGCTTTGTAAGGAGACCATAAAGTCATATTTTTTTTATCTTGTGCAAACAATTTATTATCTATATATAACACAAGAAAATAACTTATCAGTAACCTTTGTTTCATCTCTCTACTTATTTCCTGTCTATTATTTATTATCCCGCCCGTATAATAAAAGCATCAAATATCTAAACCTACTTTAAAATACTGGTACCTGATAATGTGGGAATTAATAATTTACAGAGATAGTGATGGTTGCTGGATGAATGCAGTAATAGTACAACAATAGCAATCACAGTATATGGGCTAACAGTAATATTGCAGGTGTATTAAAGGACCAGTGTGTAGGATTTAGTGGCATCTAGTGGTGAAGTGGCAGATTGCAGCTAATTTCTGTATTTGACGAGCTCGGAACGAGAACGCGAAAACAGCCCAATCCAGAGCCAGTGTTCTGGGCTATTGAAACATGGCTCTATGCAAAAATATAAAGGATCTATTACGAAGGAAGGATAACTTTAGTGTCATTACAACAGTCTGAATCAACGCTGTGTTTTGTTCTGCTTCCACTCGGAGGTATTTTTGGGTTTGTTGGACAACTTTTCTGAACATGTGTTAAACATTTTTGCTCCACAGTGACAGATTTGGTAGAGTGATTTTCCTTTCTTTCAGCACTTAGATCACTGCATTCTTTTCTAACATTTACAGGACAAATAATATTTTCACTACTTTTGCACTGTGCAGTGAAGTTTTTGCATTCATGAATCAACAAGGAATCCAGTGGGCTTTTCCTACATACCATCACATACTAAAACAAAATTCACCCAAACTGAATGAGGGTCATTGTGCAGGATTTTGGGGGTTTCTTAAGAGGTGTCTGTCAGTGAGAGTGATACTTTACTGTCTGGAAGCTCTCCAACATCTGTGTGCTCTGGAAAAATGTGTTGAGCCTTAACTCTGACTCTCTTGGTTTGAACTGGCATACTGGATGATTTCGCTATGACTGATACTGACTGTAGTTGTTGATGTTATGACTTGGATAAATCCTTTTCATACAGTAGTTCCCTAGATCAAGCATGAGACAGCTATACTAACAGTCTAATCTGTCCTACCAAGTGTAATCGTTCAAGATCTTACAGACTCTTAAGCACAGAGAAAGGCTTTTCACACAAAATAATAATCTAAGTAAGATTTCAATGAGCTTTATTTGTTAGCTTAAGACCTTCTTCCACACTAGTGTATGTTATAGTGGAGCTACCGCCTAACACAGTGCAATCCTTTCAGCCTCTGTCATTCTTGGAGAGCATGGAAAACACGAGAAGCGGTGGCCAGGAACTCATCGTTTTCAGGGAAACTTGAATTTGATGCCTTGCCTTACATCTACACTGGCTGGCCACCTGGAGCCCACCTGCCTGGATATACATACTTTCTCCTCTTCTTTATCTTTCTGTCTGTCTCCTTCTATTTATAACTCATCGTCGGATGTCTGCGCTGCCCACCCAGCTCTGTGAGAAATGTCTGATGTTGAAATTCAGGAATCTAGTGTTACTTTTAACTCGATCCCACTGACTGCAGACTTTTTTGCTGAAGTGTTTAGATTGAGGCACGTTGTATGACGGCATTCGTGTAACATGCTGTATATGCTGTAATATAAATATTTCTATAATGTAATGTAATGCTTTTTTAAAAAGGTTTTTAGCCACACTAGCTGGTCTAGGGATGCCAGTGTCAGTGGCTCAGTCAGTCCACAACTAGACTGACATATATCCGCTATCTGATGCATTGCCATAAAATGTGGTACAGACATTCATGGTCCCCAGATGATAAAGCCTATTGAACATGATGATCCTCAGACTTTTTATGTAGCACCATCAGCAGGTCAAAATGTTTACTTCTCACCATATACTTGATGGATTAGTACAATATTTCCTTTAGCGCCACCATGAGGTTGATGTTTTTGGGTTTTAGTTAAATGTTATGAGAACTGTTTGATGAATTAAATCACATTAAATTTGTTGCAGATGTCCATGGGGGAAGAGAGGATGAACCCCACTGACTTAATCAGTTCCGAAGAAATCCAATACTGTGACAAATATATTATATTGCGAAATGCTACGTTTTGGGTGGTTAGTAAACAGCTGCTTTGTGGTTTTGAGTGAAATGTCTCAACAACTATTGGATGGATCACCATGAAATTTGGTACACACATTCATGTCTTCCTCAGGATGAATTATAATAACTTTAGTTCCCCCTGACATCATCAGGTCAGAATTCTTCCATTACTTTAGTTTATGACTGAATATCTCAGCAACTACTTACCTCATCATCCTCAGCTGCAGCCTACTTTGTGTTTAGTGTTAAAGAGCGAATGTTAGCATGCTAACACAGTGAAATAAGATGGTGTCAAGGGTAAATTTACTGCTAAACATCAGCATGTTAACGTTGTCACTGTGACCATGTTAACACAGCATATATTTAGCTCAAAGCACTGTTGTGCTTAAAGGACCTGTGTGTAAGATTTAGTGCCATCTAGTGGTGTAGTTGCAGATCTCAATTTACTCGCTACTCCCTCCCTTTCCAAGCGCTACGGTCGCCATCAAGTGCACCAAAAACTCAAACATCCTTTTCTGTGTGTTAACAAAGATGGCTGTTTACAACGTACACTGTGTATCCTAAACTGAATCAGTCTCATTGTTAGCACTGCTGCCTCTGCAGTAACTATTTAGTAATGAGGTAGCTCAGCTCTATCTAATTCAGGATGTGTCCTTGTGGACTAAGGATTCCTTCAGGGGATAAACGGCTTCTCTCACAATAGATAAGTTCATGATGATTCAAGCTCATTCCAACATCAGATGTGCTGCATTACTCACTCCATGGAAACCCGAAGGGAAGAGAAGGATTTAATCTCTTTTAAGTCTGGCTGAAGTTACACATTATGGTTTCAGAAGTATTTTAGGTTTCGGGAGGAAAACTTCATTTGTGGGAATATCTGCTCTATATCCGTCCTTTCAAAAGATCAGCTACTATATGTAACTGACCATGCAGTGAACCAGCAGCCTGTGAAAACATCAGCAAGATAAAAACTCGTCAACTTAAATCGGAATCGTCACCACAAAAGCCCTGAAGGCTGTTTGACTTGTAGACAACTGGGCTAATGTATTTTTCTCCCCTCAGCTCGTGTTAAGCTGTGTAAACTTAGAACGCCACAAGACTGGAAAGAGAGGGAGGAGAGGAAAAAGAGGGGAAAGACTTGGGGGTGGAGTGTGTGTGTGTGTGTGTGTGTGTGTGTGTGTGTGTGTGTGTGTGTGTCTGGAAGTGGAAATGGGCAGCAGGGAGGAGGAATGTGAAACATTTCTGATGCGGGTCCAGTGGCTGTTTACACGGTAGTCAGCCTGTGACATCAGAGTCCAGACTTTATAAATGTCAGCAGGCGCAAGAATGAGCAGTTAGCAAACAGCTGCACTGGTCGCACCACACCGTCACACAGGTTAGTGAGACAGACTGAGCTCCATCAGCAACACAAGCCCTCATGGACCGCCTGCTGTGTGACTGTGTGATAGCTTTGGCTGTACTGCTGTGTGTGGCCACACAGGTGAGGCCTGTTCCTGCTTACTTACAGTTGTTTGTTGTGAATGAGATGATTGTGTGTTGTGTGTGTATGTGTGAGAGAGTGAAGTGGATTTCCTGTGATTTTATTTGGCTCACTTTATTGTAATAAGATTGATAAAGAGAGATTTTCTTTGGAGGAAATCACAGAGGCTTAGTGTCGTCATGTATTTATAAATTATAGTTGTTTTGATTATTTTATTTGTGGAGGAATGTCTTCTTGTCTTCCCTAATCTAAAATGGAAAAGAATCTGTGTTTATAGCCATCTTAACTGGACAGAGATAAGGTCACAGACAGTTTTGTGTGCAGGATATGCTAATATAGGACAAGCTGGGCTGTAAATTCTAACTGCAATTTTATAATATCTGTTGATTATTTTCATGATTAATTGATTAGTTTAAATGTCAGAGAATTGTGAAAACTGCCAAGCACAATTCACAAAGGTCATATGATAAAGATAGTTGTGCTTCTAAGAGTCCAAAACCCAAAGATATTCAGTTCATGGCCACATAAGACAAAGAAAAGCAGCAAATCATCCCTTCTGACAAGCTGGAACTTAAGATTTGTTTTGGTATTTTTGTTAAAAAAAATAATCACAGAGTGGGAAATGCTTAACAAAATTTATGCCAAATAATTTTCTGTAATTGACTCATAATTTCAGCCCTAAAGATACACAAATTAACTTCATGTTGACATAAGTGTTGGACTGTAGTGTCAGAAAGAAATGAAAGAATTCTTTGCTCTGGTTGTCCAGATCTCGCCTGCGTTTTGGCTCCACCAGATACATGTAATTGAAAACAGTGATTTGGCCCGACGGCGTTGGATACCTCAGTTTCTGAGCATACCAATAATATTTTCTTTACTGCTTAGGTGAATACAGTCAAGAGGATAATAATTTTGATGATGATGATGATGATAATTATGGTGGTGGTGATGGTAAAGACTGTGTGTAATCTGTTCCCATGTGTGTTATCCTTGCAGGTGTTGTGCCAGCTGTGTGACAGGCCCTGCCTTTGTCCCAGACCTGCCCCCCAGTGCCCCTCAGGAGTACCACTGGTGCTGGATGGCTGCCGGTGCTGCCAGGTGTGTGCCCGACAGAAAGGCGAGCCCTGCACGGAGATGTTTCCCTGCGACAGCCAGAGAGGACTGCAGTGCGATTACAGCGCCAGCTTCCCCGGGGACGCCGGGGAGTGTGTCAGTGAGTGCCTCTTCTAACAAGCAAACAACCAGGCCCATGTGTGTGTGGGTTAGACAGAGTGGAGGACATACAGCCTCAGTCCGTCTGCATGAGTGGGACAAAGAGACAGTTAATGTTTAAAGTCTGCTCAGCAGAGCGGCACAGGGCCGTGGTGCTCTGCCAGAACTCCGTTTCAGCTTCTATTTCCAGGACTGCTGTTGACACATTTCCTCTAATGACTACCCTTTGAGCATGATAGATTGCAGAGACAACACTCATGGATTGAAAAACAGACTCCTCGGTTTCTCAGTAGAGAGGCCTGGCTTTCCCAAAAAAACTACATAACCATTAGCAGGGACAGCAGCCCCTGTGTCCTCTCTGCTCTCACTAATTTTCTTCTGCTGTGTCCCTTTGCATCCACCCACCTCCCTTCCTTATTAAGTTTCACCACATCAATCCAAGGTGCAGGTGTGGTTGAGAAAGTTAAGACGACGTCTGTGCTGTGTGTTTCTTACAGGTCAGGAGGAGCTGGGCTGTGAAGTCAACGGCATCACTTACAATGAAGGCCAGTCGTTTCAGCCCTCCTGTGACACTTACTGCCACTGTAGAGGTGGAGGGGTGACCTGTGTGCCAGCTTGCCCTCTGACTGGCCGTCTTCCCACGCCAGACTGCCCCAACCCACAATACATTCGGCTGCCAGGGAAATGCTGCAAGGAATGGGTGTGCGAAAACCTCGAGAACACAGTCATTCAGGATGCCATCACAGGTAAACTCTAGAGGTGAATGTGTACATTGCAAAGGTTTAAGCAAATATCCTCCAATACAGGTGTTTATTAGTGTATAATCACCTGAATTGTTAGAATGAGCCGTTTTTATCTACAGAGGGAGCGGGTCCTCTTATATTGAGTCCCCTAACAGACACACACTGGCTCTAGATGGGGCCTTGTGTGTTTTTTTTAGCAAATTAGTGTATTTTCCAAAATGTGGAACTATTCCTTTAAATTGTATCCTGACATCAGAGCTGGATATTCATATTTTCCAGTGTCAGGTTGCTGGTGCCAGATGCATCTCCACGTACAGTATCATTGGCATTCTCAGCCACAAATGTTGCTCATTGATGATCAGTTCATATGGCAACATAATCCTTCCTTCTTTTATATGAGGTTTGTCACCAGTGGTCATGTCTGGAAGTTTTTACTGGAGCATTTTTGCATTAAACTGGGGTGTGTCTGGCCAAAGGAAAACTCACAAAGTCCAAATATAACCCACATTTCAAAGTCAAAACATATTTTTCTTTCCCCCAGTGACCAAGTTTCGTCATTTCAACAGTTGTGTAACAATTACACATATGAAGCTATGTAGAGACTATTACTCAATTAATTGAGTGTGTATGTGTGTTAGTGAGAGTGGGTGTTAGGGAAATGAAGCCACTCTAGAAACATCTGGAATTCCAAACACTGTCTGAGTCAAAGAACATGATGAGAGCAGGAACATTTTGTTCTCAAATATAAAGCCTGCGATGTCATTCCTGAAGAACAGCTGATTATTATGACTTACATGTTAATGTTGTGAGGAACAAAATCTTGCTTTGGAGTTTTTTTTAATTCAAGTTCAATCAGCATCTAGTTTAGTTTAGTTTAGTTTAGTGAAGTGGTTCTCAGCGAGGCCACTATTGTGAATGATGGAACTGTTGAATTTGCTGCTTATTCTAGTCACTTTTTTTTGGGTTCTTTAGCCATGAGACCTGCCAGGTTGTGGCCAGCTCTGCCGAGGGATCATCCTCTTAACAGACTAGTCCCAGCTGCCTCCACCTGTACAGAGCAGAGCACCCAGTGGAGTGCCTGTTCCCAGAGCTGTGGGGCTGGGGTCTCCACACGGGTTTCTAACCAGAACCCAGCCTGCAAGCTACAAATGGAAATTCGACTTTGTAAAGTGCGGCCTTGCCATACAGTTCAGCCTCCTCCAAGGAAGTCCATGGTGAGTTTTAATCACATCAAGATTTATTTCTTCTGTATTTCTTCCTTGTCAGGTGGTTCATCTCTCCATATATCCTACCATGTCCCTTTGAAGGCTGTTAATGGTCAGTTCATTTTTGGTTTTAGGTGCTGAGTTTGAAGATAATTACATCCGAAACCTTTATAGTCAGTTCAGTACAATAAAGGGAAACTGAATTTCTCAGAAACAAATAAATGAAAATGTATGTTTATTGTGATTAGGGAGACCTTCATAAGTCTGAATTGCCAAGGAATGTTGCTAAATCAATGCCAAATATATTTCATTTCTTCTTGTCATTCAGGTTAACTTGTGAGTTTCTGTATTCCTCTATAGCATCTCTGCAGCTCGGATGTAGTTGCATAAATAAAACTGTACTGTAAGATTTGATTTGAGGATTTGCAGGTTAAAAGACATTAGATCTCAGTGTAAAGTGGGCTAAATTTGGATAAACATTTAATGTTTCTAAGATGTCTTGGTAACATATACCAAAATATTGTCACAGAAAGGTTGAAACAACAGTTATATGCAACCTAGATGTCTAGATGTCTCAAACAAATATTTAGACCTGCAAATCACCAAATCATTGCATCCATAACTGGGATTTTCTCTTCTTACCTCTGTGTGTGTCTGTGCATGCTGTTTTCCCAGTGGGGTCAGCAGGGGCGGTGCAAGGCCAGCTACACATCACCAGGCCCCATTCGGCTCGTTCACCAGGGCTGCTACAGCACTCGTGCCTACAAGCTCCGATACTGCGGACAGTGCACTGACTCCCGCTGCTGCACGCCTTATCAAACCACCACTGCGGAGGTGACCTTCCACTGCCCCACCGGCAGACTGATACAGCGAGCTGTGATGATGATCCACTCGTGTGCTTGTCATAACAACTGCCCCTACTCACCTTACAGTAACCCTGCTCTGTGGGGATTCAGGCCCTAACTGGCCCGTATGAGCACTGATCATGCAGAACAATAAGACTTAACTGACTGATTTGGGGGCCGGAAGTGAGGGAGACCTTATGGATCCACAAAGGAATCCTTTAATCAATGGACCTTGAAAGACAAAAGATAATTGTAGATACAAACTGTGATGGAATTGGGATGAACGTTTATCTTCACACATGTACAATCTCAATCTGCACTTATTGACAACTCTTTTACGCTCATACAAATTAGGAAGTCATTATACTGTTGGTTTTTACATCATCCAATAATCAAAATTATCTGGCAAATCTAGAGAAAGCAAGCAAGTAATTTACAGTACAGCACATTTTAACAAAGAAGTTACAAAGTGCTTTACAGGAAGAAGAAAAGGGAAAGGGGAGATATAAAAGACATAGAAGACAATAAGTGTATAACCCACAAAGTAAAGGTTATAGAATTAAGAAAACAAGTGGATTTTAAGAAAGATGTGCACTGACTTGCCTTCTTTTCCTCCTAGAGGTCAGAGGGCACATAATTCTTTAAGTACAGAGGTCCCTGATCCCTGAGGTCATCATGCCTTGTATGTCAAAAGTGAAATTTAATATTCATATCCATATTCAAAGTGTCAGGGAGCCAAGAGAGAAACTAAAGCAGGTGATTTATATTTAGTTTTTTTTTTTTTTTGCCATTTTAAGTCAAGAAAGCGACAATTTGCTCAGGCTGTTGAATAAGACTGTAGTAGTGTTGGAGTGATACGATAAAAACAGGGGTGACTTTTTCTTTTGACTCAAAATTTAGGTTGGGCCAATTAAAGGTTGAATGTGTAACATTTAGGAGGATCTATTGGCAGAAATGAAATATAATATGCATGACTATGTTTTCATTAGTGTATAATCACCTGAATGTAGGAATCGTTGTGTTTTTTTGTTACCTTAGAATAAGCCTTTTATATCGACAGACGCCTTCCATGGAGGCCACCACGCTGAACTGCCATGTTTCTACAGAAGCCCTGAAGGGAAAAAACAAACACTGGCTCTAGATAAGGGCATTGGCATTTTTCATGCAATTTGCGGCCACCATAGTTTCTCCTTAGAGCTCGGAAGGGGAGGATAAAGCGAGTGAGTTGTGACCTGCAACTACACATCTAGATGCCACTAAATCTTACACACTGGACCTTTTAATTGAAATTAAATGAAGATTTAGTAAAACAATTTTTGTAATTTTTCTAACCTAAACTATGAATTGACGACAGTTGGCCATGATGTTAATTTGATCAAGACATATTTACGCTGCTAACTGGCAATATATGTTTTTAAGAGTCAATTTCAATGACTTAAAAAATATGTGTTTGTTTGATAGAAATGTATGCCACAGAATGACCCCAACCTTTTGTGTTGACAGATATTGTTTTCCAACATAAGCAATGCAACTTTTAACTTGTACAGTCTTGTGTGTTTGTAGTTAGATGACTTTGCACTTATTACTTTCTATTTTCTGATTTGTTGTAAATAATTCTGGACACATGTGTCTTATGTATAGTGAAAAATGTTTCAGTATTTTACGTATGTTCTATAATTTTACTCTACATGATTTTTGTCTTCTTGATTTATATTTTTATATATTTTCTTTATTTTTATACATTGTTTTTTTATTGCCTTTAATCGATAAATTGAGAGAGAGAGAGAGAGAGAGAGAGAGAGAGAGAGAGAGAGAGAGAAGAGAGAGGACGACATGCAGCAATGAACCCACCGGCGCTGCAGCAATGACTCAGATTTAGTATATACGGCACCAGCTTTACCAGATGAGCCAGGATGCCCCTATTTTTTATATTATAGTATTCACAGATTTATATAGTCATTTTGTACATACTGTGGCTTTTTACCCTTTTTCTGATTTTTCACTTCATCGTTCATCAACCATTATTGTACAGTACACAGTCTTCCTCTTGCTAATGAGCTGTTTAAGCACACAGAAATACAGTACACAGCACCACAGGAGTCATTTCTGGTATTTCATATTAAAAATGAAGCCAAATTAATGTCTACTATTACTTGTACTGACTAATCCTGCACTTAAGCATGCACTGTGTCTCTAAAGGCTTTTTCAGTCAGACCACATGACCTTGTTAGATATCCTGACATCTAGAGGCCAAAATAATCTACTGATGTTCATCAGAACATACATTCTGAAGTGAAGACTAGCAGTTCAACTAGTTTAACCCTTTATAGGGTTCTCATTGAAATACTTGGAAATTTAGAATTTCAACTCTGTGTTATTGGTGGATATAATTTCGGCTGAAAATCAAAGTCAATGATGTCTTGGTGGGCTGGCACAAAAACAGTGTGTGGCACAGCAGACCTCCTCTTCCCACAGAAGGACTGAGCAGATAGCTATGCCACATTAATATATGAAAATATGTAATAAATAAGCCAGAAGCAAATCAAGCTTTGAGTTATTTGTGAAATAAAGCTGTAACAGTGAAGTGTATGTTAGTATATCACCTATATAAAACCCCCACCTAAATATGCCATAGAAGTGTAATTAAAACCGTCATAAGGAAGTTACCATATATGGTTCCTCACCCGATAAAGATTTAAATTCAAAGGGATTGAGAAAGTCTCTTCTAGCTTTAGGGGCAGCGATATCATAAATCAGTTATTTAAAAGGGAAGCATATTGGGGGCCTCAAATTACAATCCAATGTGCAATTAATTGACCAGACTGGACTAATGAAGCTGCTGTGCAGTTTTTATAAAATGTATGTTAATAAAAATATAGAATAATATAATATATAGGTTAAATATCTTCGTAAAAAGAAAGTGTTGAACTCCACAAGCAGCTCTGTGTCATAATAGACATGATCATCAGAAACTTCATTGACTTGTACTTTACAAATGTAAATGTGCAGCAGATTAAAGGAGGCAGCAGAACTGTGCTTTCTTTCATTTAGTCATCTGTATCTGTACATCTTAGTTTGTTGCATCTGTCCACTGTATACATGCATAATTAGGGCAGCAGAAAAGGATTTTCACTTGTAACAGAGCACATTTGCACCGTGGTTCTGATTCTTGACTAACTGTCCTATCCAGTGTTTTTTAAAAAGGCTTTTAAAGGTTGTTGAATTTCCTCAACAAATGCTTAAATAAATTGTTATTGCAATACATTAAAATCACTATAAAGTTGGAGTTGGGGGATTTTACACAGCAATGCTGACATTGTTGTTTCTGTCTCTGAACTGTTAGATACTTTGATGAACCTTCTTTTATGTGCGTCACTGTTTGCAATCAGTTAGCAGTTGGCATCCTGTTTACTTTTACTCATTCACACACTCTCAACGGCAGTTTCCTCACCACAACGCAGTGAAGAGACATTTTCAGACATGTTCAAATGACTTTAATTTTTTTAATCTGAGCTTTTTTAAACGTGTTAACAGCATGACAAATACATAGATCAAAAGCTTGACTCTTTACAACAAATGTGTTATAGTGGCAGATGCTGCAATAAAATTGTTCAATTTCATATCAGACCATTTACGCCAGGGGAAGTTGAGTAGGGGGCAATGACACCCGTGTGACAGTTTGACGAGCTCGCTGGAGTAATCGTCTGAGCTGAGCAGGAATATCTTCATTTCCATTGAGGTAAACCAGAGGGTTGAGAGCACTGTTCAGACACACAAGGCCACGACTTATCTGACGAGCAATGTAGACTCCATTAGACCATTTATGGCACACCCCTTTTCTTGACAAAACTCTTGACCAGAGGTTCAGGTTCTTGAGTACATTATAGGGGATGTAACAAACAGAGAAGAGAAGAATCAAGATGAACAACAACCTTAAACTTTTCTGTTTCAGTTCCTTGTCAATTGTATTTGTGCGGCAGAGAACAACAATCACATGTCCATAGCAGCCCAGTGTGATGAGGAAGGGGATACAGAACCCAATGAGTGTCCATCCAAGGTTGTATTTCAGGTATTCCTCAACATTTTCGTTAGTGGTTTCAATGCATTCAGCGTGGGAGTTTTTTTTTGTGTAGAACATGTCTGGAAGACTCTGTACACTCACCAACAGCCAAACCATGGCAGAGATAGCCACAGAGTGGGTGTTGGTTATTCTTCCCATCACTCTCATTGGATGAACAATAGCCAGGTACCTGTACACGCTGATACAGGTGAGGAAGCCAATGCTGCCATATAAATTCAGGTTGAAGCAGAATCTTGTTATCTTGCAGAATACATCTCCAAAGATCCATTTCCTATCCATAAAGTAGTACACCACCAAAAATGGGAGTGTGAGCAGGTACCAAACATCTGTAAGTCCAAGGTTGAGAACAAAAACATTGACGTTACCCAGTTTCTTCCAGTTGTGCAGCAAAGACTTGAGTCCCCATCCATTGGCTACCAGACCAATGATTAATACCAAGATGTAAACAGGAGGCAGAAATCTTCCTGTAAAGTCATGGCTGACACAAGTTGTGTTATTCATTGTCTTCAGCAGTTAGTACAATTGCCTTTCTCTGTGAACGTGCTGGTCTCCTCTACAGATAGAAACTGAAGTAAAACATGTGCGCTTCAGAGAAGACTTCCTGTTTCACGACCCTCCCTCTACATGCTACATTTGAGTTTCTGCACCTGCCAGTACCCAGGAAATGAAATCAGTTGGTGTCAAAATCAAGCGATCCCAAGAATTAGACTATAATTACAGGTTTATATGTACTTTTTATTTTTGTTTTTGTTTTTTTACACTTATATAGAATAGATGAATAAACTTTACAGTTTGTAGTTTTGTGTATTAGAGGCAAGCTTTCTGCTGATGTGTGGGTTTCATATTTCTAAAAAAGTATCTGTTATCTAGTAGGAACAGTAACAGTAAGTATACTACATCCTAGTGATCTGTAGATGTTATTCTTCAATGATTTTACAAGCACTGTTTGATATAATCTTCTTGTAATATCCTATTGTAATAATCCTCTTGGATTTGTGTGCCAGCTGTGTGTCCTTTACACAATACTGCTTCATCTGTCACCAATCATTCAGTATGTGTTGACATTTGACTGAGTTATGACTCAGAGATAAAGGCAATTATTTTTGATGCAAATTGCAGGGGTTTATTCTTCTTCTGAACTATTTGATAAATTGCCAAGATATATAGTTAATGGTTCTCAGGTGATAAATCTTTGAGGATGTTTGCCATTAAATGTTAGTACATTCAAGTCATGTCCTTTCTTGACTTTTCCTCTAGGGCCCTCATCTGGTCAAAATGTCAATGTGCACAATACTTTGCTTCATATTTATAAATTCATTTTAAATTGGTATGATTTTAATAGCTTTGAGTGATTAGGATTGTCATATAGAAACAAGCATTAAGGGACAAAACATGAAACAGTCCTCAAATCAAGAACATAATGGCACACAACCTACATTTTAAACGAGTTGAACTACCAGTCTTCACTTCAGAATGTATGTTCTGATGAACATCTGTAGATTATTTTGGCCTCTAGATGTCAGGATATCTAACAAGGTCATGTGGTCTGACTGAAAAAGCCTTTAGAGACACAGTGCATGCTTAAGTGCAGGATTAGTCAGTACAAGTAATAGTAGACATTAATTTGGCTTCATTTTTAATATGAAATACCAGAAATGACTCCTGTGGTGCTGTGTGCTGTATTTCTGTGTGCTTAAACGGCTCATTAGCAAGAGGAAGACTGTGTATTGTACAATAATGGTTGAAAAATCTGAAAAAGGGTAAAAAGCCTCAGTATGTACAAAATGACTATATAAATCTGTGAATACTATAATATACAAAAATAGGGGAATACATTTTTGTTCTTTATTTCTAATAAATTTGCAAACATTTCAAAAAAACCTTTTTTCATGTTCTCATGTATGTATCGTGTGTAGACTATTGAGGAAAAAATTAATTGAATCCATTTTGGAATGAGGCTGTAACATAATGAAATGTGGAAAAAGTGAAGCGCTGTGAATACTTTCCGCATGCACTGTATATTGCCAGTCAGCAGCGTAAATATGTCTTGATCAAATTAACATCATGGCGAACAGAGGCCTGTGTGTGAACCCTCTAAAATGATCACTCATTCAATTTGAATAAGGTATCACATATGTAATGCATCCTCTATATATGTTTTTGAGTATATACTAAACCCAACAAAACTAAATTCAAAATTTTTGGCAATTCAGAAGATGGTGGAAGAGAATACTGACATTTGATATTGCTTGCCTCATTGAAATATTGTTGGCAGCACAGTGTATACCATTTTGCTCAAACAAAACCCTTGCAGATGACTCCACCATCAAAGTTGCCCAAGACTGAACCACTGATCCTGCTTTGCTGTTCCACCGTTTCCTGATCTTATCACAAACTGGATAGTTTTCACTGGAAGATGTAATGAGCCATGAGCTCTGCTCATTTCCTGCAGCCCTGTTCGAAGGCAAGGAAATCTTCCCTGAAGCCAACAAGCCCCAACTAGCGCAAGCAGTCACTGAGTTCTCAAGCAAGAAATCTAACAAAACTGTCCTGGATTCCATCCCACCAACTGAGCATTATGTCCCTGACGGTGGCTCCCTAGTTCACTGCTTGGCATGGAAAAAGGGTGACAGTTACGGTGCCATTGCACAGTCATATGCAGGCTTTACCATACGCCATTACGGTACAGCAACAGTAGTTTTTGATGGTTATAGCGAAGGTCCTTCCATCAAAGACAATACGCATCAGAGACATGGTGAAAACACTGACCCCATCGTTAACTTCAATGCAGAGACTGAGTTTGTGGGAAGAAAGGCTGATTTCCTTTCCAGATCTTGCAAAATGTAGGTTGTGTGCCATTATGTTCTTGATTTGAGTTGATTTCTTGTTAAAATCATACAAATTTAAAATGAATTTATAAAAATAAAGCAAAGTATTGTGCACATTGACATTTTGACCAGATGAGGGCCCTAGAGGAAAAGTCAAGAAAGGACATGACTTGAATGTACAAAATTTAATGGCAAAGATCATCAAAGATTCATCACCTGAGAACCATTAACTATATATCTTGGCAATTTATCAAATAGTTCAGAAGAAGAATAAACCCCTGCAATTTGCATCAAAAATAATTGCCTTACACAAAAATACACAAAACTACAAACTGTAAAGTTTATTCATCTATTCTATATAAGTGTAAAAAAAAAAAAAAACCAGAAACAAAAATAAAAAGTACATATAAACCTGTAATTATAGTCTAATTCTTGGGCTCGCTTGATTTTGACACCAACTGATTTCATTTCCTGGGTACTGGCGGGTGCAGAAACTCAAATGTAGCATGTAGAGGGAGGGTCGTGAGACAGAAGTCTTCTCTGAAGCGCACATGTTTTACTTCAGTTTCTATCTGTAGGGGAGACCAGCACGTTCACAGAGAAAGGCAATTGTACTAACTGCTGAAGACAATGAATAACACAACTTGTGTCAGCTATGACTTTACAGGAAGATTTCTGCCTCCTGTTTACATCTTGGTATTCATCATTGGTCTGGTAGCCAATGGATGGGGACTCAAGTCTTTGCTGCACAACTGGAAGAAACTGGGTAACGTCAATGTTTTTGTTCTCAACCTTGGACTTACAGATGTTTGGTACCTGCTCACACTCCCATTTTTGGTGGTGTACTACTTTATGGGTAGAAGATGGATCTTTGGAGATGTATTCTGCAAGATAACAAGATTCTGCTTCAACCTGAATTTATATGGCAGCATTGGCTTCCTCACCTGTATCAGCGTGTACAGGTACCTGGCTATTGTTCATCCAATGAGAGTGATGGGAAGAATAACCAACACCCACTCTGTGGCTATCTCTGCCATGGTTTGGCTGTTGGTGAGTGTTCAGAGTCTTCCAGACATGTTCTACACAAAAAAAACCTCCTACGCTGAATGCATTGAAACCACTGACGAAAATGTTGAGGGATACCTGAAATACAACCTTGGATGGACACTCACTGGGTTCTGTATCCCCTTCCTCATCACACTGGGCTGCTATGGACATGTGATTGTTGTTCTCTGCCGCACAAATACAATGGACAAGGAACTGAAACAGAAAAGTTTAAGGTTGTTGTTCATTTTGATTCTTCTCTTTTCTGTTTGTTACATCCCCTATAATGTACTCAAGAACCTGAACCTCTGGTCAAGAGTTTTGTTAAGAAAAGGGGTGTGCCATAAATGGTCTAATGGAGTCTACATTGCTCGTCAGATAAGTCGTGGCTTTGTGTGTCTGAACAGTGCTCTCAACCCTCTGGTTTACCTCAATGGAAATGAAGATATTCCTGCTCAGCTCAGACGATTACTCCAGCGAGCTTGTCAAGCTGTCACACGGGTGCCGTTACCCCCTACTCAACTAACCCTGGCGTAAATTGTCTGATATGAAATTGAACAATTGTATTGCAGCATCTGCCACTATATTCATTTCAAATGGCTTTATTGGCATGACGTAACACTGTACATATTGCCAAAGCAAGCGTTTGGAATTTAAAATAATAATAATAACAATAAAGGAAAACAATATTTACAATAAATTAATTATGATCAAAAGGAGACATATTTTGCTGCAGTAATTGGACTTTTTGGCATTTCTCCCAGTAAATAGGGGAGTTTCTGTGTGTCTGATATAAATTCAAATTCGGGTTATATTTGGGAAATGTTTGCGAAGTGTATTTGTCTCAGGATTTTATATTTAGGGCATGAGGTTGGAAAGTGCAGCTCTGTCTCTACCTGTCCTCTGTCACACTGGGAGCAGAGTCTCTCCTCTTCTGGTAGCCAGTTCTGTCTGTGGCGACCCTTTTCTATGGCCAGGCTGTGTTCACTCAGTCTGTACATTGTCAACATTTTTCTTAATTTAGGACATTTTATTGTTGTCAGGTAATTTGCCAGTGTGAATTCTCTTTTTAGGGTCAGATAACATTGTAATTTACTTTGTGTTTTGGTCGTTTCTTTCCAGTATTCAATATATTTTTCTTTTTGCTTGTTGATAATTTGGTTTGGTCTGATTGAGTTGGTGTTGCTGTCCTGAGGCTGTTGGGGACATGTTACTGCAGACAGCCTCAGGACCAACTGGCTGAAGGGACTCTTCTCTGGTTTCAGCTCCTGGTATGTTAGGGCTTTGTGATGGTATGTCTGGGGGTTAACTGATTTTAAGTGATTGTAAAATTGAATTGATCTTTTCTGTATTTTTAGTAGGAGGGGGTATTGGCCGAGCTCTGCTCTGCACATTTGGTGTTTTTCTCTGCACCTGCAGGATGCTCTTACAGAACTTGTGTGGAAAGATTCCACCATAACACATTTGTTGAAAAGAGTCAAGCTTTTGATCTATGTATTTGTCATGCTGTTAACATGTCTAAAAAAGCTCAGATTAAAAAGAATTTAATTCATTTGAACATGTCTGAAAATGTCTCCGTTCACTGCATTGTGGTGAGGAAACTGCCGTTGAGAGTGTGTGAATGAGTAAAAGTAAACAGGATGCCAACTGCTAACTGATTGCAAACAGTGACGCACGTAAAATAAGGTTCATCAAAGTATCTAACAGTTAGGAGACAGAAACAACAATGTCAGCATTGCTGTGTAAAATCCCCCCAACTCCAACTTTATAGTGATTTTAATGTATTTCAATAATCATTTATTTAAGCATTTGTTGAGGAAATTCAACAACCTTTAAAAGCCTTTTTAAAAAACACTGGATAGGACAGTTAGTCAAGAATCAGAACCACGGTGCAAATGTGCTCTGTTACAAGTGAAAATCCTTTTCTGCTGCCCTAATTATGCATGTATACAGTGGACAGATGCAGCAAACTAAGATGTACAGATACAGATGTTATGCTGAAGTGTCAGTGTAGTTTTATATCTAGACTAAATGAAAGAAAGCACAGTTCTGCTGCCTCCTTTAACCTTTTATAGGGCACTCATTGAAATACTTGGAAATTTAAAATTTCAACCCTGGAGTGTTATTGGTGGATATAAGAAGTCATTATTTCTGTTTTTATTTTTTTTAAAGTTCAATTTTTGGCTGAAAATCAAAGTCAATGATGTCTAGGTGTGCTGGCACAAAAACAGTGTTTGGCACAGCAGACCTCCTCTTCCCATAGAAGGACTGAGCAGACAGCTATGCCACATCAATATATGAAAATATGTAATAAATAAGCCATAAGCCTATATCAAGCCCACTTTGCGTTACTTGTGAAATAAAGCCATAACAGTGAAGTGTATGTTAGTATATCACCTATACCCCCAAAAAAAAAAAAATGCCATAGAAGTGTAATTAAAACCGTCATAAGGGAGTTACCGTATATGGTTCCCACCCGATAAAGGGTTAAATTCAAAGGGATTGAGAGAGTCTCTTCTAGCTTTAGGGGCAGCAATATCATAAATCAGTTATTTAAAAGGGAAGCATATTGGATATATACTCTCAACCTTTTGTTGCCAGGAGGGTTGTGTACAGCAGAACTTTTTGCTGTGGCTGAAAATAAATGCAATGAGAGTGGTGAAAAAGAGCAAAAACAATGAAGCAAAATAATGGAAAATATAAAACAAGGAGATCAAAGAAGCTACAAAGCTCTGTAGAGCTCAAAGGGGGGTACAGAGTCAGGGGACAGTTCTCTGTGGGTTCATCAGTACAAGTGACCCCATTACCCATAGTCACTGAGGTTTGACCTGGCCCAAAAATTATTCATAATATTTTTCATCTATGTATTTAAAATACTGAAAACAGTGTTTTTTTCTGGGCCTCAAATTACAATCCAATGTGCAATTAATTGACCAGACTGGACTAATCAAGCTGCTGTGCAGTTTTTATAAAATGTACATATGATAATAAAAATATAGAATAATATAAGATATAGGTTAAATATCTTTGTAAAAAGAAAGTGTTGAACTCCACAAGCAGCTCTGTGTCATTATAATAGATATGATCATCAGAAACTTGATTGACTCGTACTTTACAAATGTATCAGCTTAAAACTTAACATAGACTTGCACCAGTCAACATGTACTGGCTTTCACTCACTTAGTTCCCATCTTTTAACATGGTGCCGCAGATTAAGTGTCATTTATTGCATGCATCCTGTGATGTGTTGTTATTCTTAGCTCAACCAGACCTGAATCTTGCACTGATAAAGGTCTAAGAATGATGAGTGTTTGACAGGAAGCAATCTTTAAAGATATATTGCCTCAGTTACTTCAACCATTTTAGGCACCATATTGCTTTACAGTATTTGCCGCTTTTCAGGAGACTGAATGAATACAACTTTTTATTTATCCTTTGTTTAGCAGGGACGACACAATTTATGCACATTTATATATACATTTTACATATACAAATGCATGCCTATAAGTCTATACCCTGTGCAAAGTTAAAAGCAGTTGCAAGTATATTACCCTAGTAGCTCAGTAACTATAGTTCTTTAAAAGCACCATGTAGAATTACTTCTGATGTTGTTGTGTCAGCTAATGATCATCAGTGTTTTTGTTCTAAACCTCGGACAACACAGATGTTTTGAACCTGCTCACACTTCCGTTTTTGATGCGGTTCTACTTTATGAGGAGTAAATGGTTCAGTTGGTTTTGTGGTTTGGTTATTTGGTAAAGTTCACAGCCTGCCACGCTGTTACTCCTCCGTTGCTCTGTGTTTAATGATGCAGCTTAAAAGAAACTGCAGTTATTCAACTGACAAAATGTGAGTTGACACTAAAAACCCCTTAAGGTACCCCGATTTAAAGTGAAATGGATGGAAGATGACTTGGTAACATTAAACTCATTTTAACACTTTAATTACTATATTTTAACATGTAGCCATCACCTGCTTCACAATCAATTATTGTCACTGAAAGATTGAAACAAACATAGCCTAGCTGTGACCTAGACATCTAGGCATCTTTTGACCTGCAAATCACCAAATCATTGCACTGCTAACTGGGATTTTCTGACTTGCCTCTGTGTATGTATGTGTTTGCATTTGCATGCTGTTTCCCCCGTGGGGACAGCAGAGGTTGTTCCCCACCGGCAGACTGATTCAGCGAGCTGTGACAAGGATCAACTGAGATGTTTGTCATAACAACTGCCCCTACTCACCTTAGAGTAACCCTGCTCTGCAGGGATACAGGTCCTGTTCTGCCTGTATGTATGTATGAGTTATGGATCGCCAGGCAGATCCACATAGGCATCCTCTTCACACATGTACAATCTCAAAATGTACAACTCTTTTATGATCATACACCTTAGGGGTCTTTATACTAGTGGGTCTGACCTCATCAACAATCAAAATTATGTGGCAAATCTAGAGAAAGCAAGCAAGCAAACTTAATTTAGTACAGTGCAGCACATTTTAACACAGAAGAACCCAGATGCACATCTGGGTGCATGCCAGAGAGAATAGGGGCTCATATCAGATTCAAGCAGTCCTGGTGTGACTTGAATGATGAATGTTAATCCAGAGTGATGTTCAAGAATTCTGATATTACTGCTCACACTGATGTTGCAAAAACTCAGATCTGTATCTGATTTGGACCATATATGAAAGGCCTCCAGTCATATTCATGCAGGTGTACAGTGGGGGCATTATAATGTAACACATGACTATTACTCTGCTGATAATCTTATGCCAATGCTGTCTGCTGCTGCATCCATTCAAAATAAACGACAGTTTGTGTGTTCATGGTAATAAAGGAAAATGTTACCCAGTGTAACAGTGTGGCTCACCGACGTGTTTTTGAAAGCTTACAACAACAATTAAGCTCTAGTACAGCGGAATAAGATATGTCCGGCTTCAGATATACAGATAATACTGTACTATAAATTGTCCTTTTATGATTTAATACAGTAAATATATTACATATTATTCCTTTAAGGGCCAAGGTCAGCATTCTTGAACGAATGCATTTTCAAGTGATTATACACGAAAATAGTTATACACATTTTAATCCATTTCTGCATTAGAGCCTCCTTAATGTTACAAACCGGACTGTTAAAACCTGATGCTGACATGGTTTCACTGACCTCTCACTCCCTCATTCTCACTTCTTTACATAGAACAAAGAAAGAGTTAGATGTAATTTTACACCGTATCTTACACACGATTAAATGCATATTGTGGTGATGTCTTGCATTTATACTGTTTGCAAACTTTAAGATTACATTTCATCATGGCATCTCTCTGCTTTCAAAGAAAACGGTACATTTTTGTGTTTCCTACCACATTAAGCATATTCTAAAGATAATAAAAGTTGATCATGAAAAAAACGTCCCCTTAGATACAAACCACTGAAAACACTTCCTGTCCTCATATTAGTTCTGACTTCACAGGCAGAAGCCAAACCACAGAGCAAGTTGTATCAAAGTATTTTTTTAGACAAAATGAATAAGACCTGTGCTAGTGTCAACTTTGACTTTGAACACAGATTTCTGCCTCCTGTTTTCATCTTGGTATTCATCATTGGTCTTTTAGCCAATGGATGGGGACTCAAGTCTTTGCTGCACAATTCGAAGAAACTAAAGCTCATCAGCATTTTTGTTCTCAACCTTGGACTTGCTGACATTTTGTACCTGCTCACACTCCCATTTTTGATGGTGTACTACTTTATGGAGAGTAAATGGATCTTTGGAGATGCATTCTGCAAGATAACAAGATTCTGCTTCAACCTGAATTTATATGGCAGCATTGGCTTCCTCACCTGTATCAGTGTGTACAGGTACCTGGCTATTGTTCATCCAGTGAGAGTGATGGGAAGATTAACTCGGACTCACTCTGTGGCTATCTCGATCACAGTCTGGCTGTTGGTGAGTGTTCAAAGTCTTCCAGGGCTTTTCTACCCCAAAACATCTGGAAACAGCACTGAACAATGCTTTGATACCACCAATAAGATCTATGTTGAGGATTACCTGAAATACAGCCTTGGACAGACACTCACTGGCTTTTGTATTCCCTTCCTCATCACACTGGGCTGCTATGGACACATAGCTGTAGTTTTATGGACATTGAAGAGAACTGATAATGTACAGAAACAGAGAAGCTTGAAGTTGTTGTTCATTTTGATTCTTCTCTTCTCTGTTTGTTACATCCCCTATCATGTATTCAGGAATCTCAACATCTGGTCAAGAATTTTGTCAAAACAAGGGTTGTGTCGAGGGTGGTTTAATAGAGTCTACATTGCTCATCAGATAAGTCGTGGCCTTGGGTGTCTGAACAGTGCTCTCAACCCTCTGGTTTACCTCCATGTAAAGGAAGATATTCTTGCTCAGCTCAGACAATTACTCCCGCAAATTCGTCAGACTTCAAACTCCAGCTGTGTGGCACAAACCACGGAGGAGGTTCAAAACAAGTAAACATGTTAATGATTATGTTATATAATTTTGTATATATCTGCTGTGTGCCCATACACACTGAAGT